TCGGCCTCACGTTCAAGTGCCCAGGGCCTAACTAACTCAGAGGCCCTGGGTTTTCAGCTTTTGCTGAAATCCGAGACTCGGTGCACTCCAACCAATTGGCGTGCTGCAACTGTATGGACCCCACTTCGTGAAATGTTGCACATAGGGCTCTTGTTGATTTGCTGGCCCGCCTTCACTTAGGGCGGGCACGAGGCTTGCCGGGGCCTTAGCCCAGAACATGTACATCATGGCAAGGCCCCTACTTGAGGGCTCAATCCTCACATTCCATCCCCCTTGGCTTTGAAAGTCCGTTGAGATGCTTACTTCGCAGGTGCCTTCCCTTTCAGTAGCCTCTCATATTCTGCCACCACCTGAGGAGCTGTCTCAATCAGTTCCTCCCTGGTAAACCACCGTTCTTCTTTTGGATCCGTATGATGCCTAAATCTGACGCGGTACTCTCTCTTAGGTTTAGGAGGTCTTCCTCGACCCAGCGGCTTCGGAACAGGCATATCCCTGTGATCCACAATGTCGTCGATATCCACTTGTCAATCCATGGTTGGGGGCAGCATCGATCTCCTGGAAGGGAATTGATCTGTCTCAGCGAAAGGTGCAAGCTTTGAGGCATGAAAGACTGGGTGAGTGCGTAGGTGTCCAGGGATACGAATGACATATGTGGGACCATCCATCTCATCTCTCACTATATCCAGGACTTCCCAAGGACCAAAGTACTGAGGCATTAGTTTGCGAGAGATTCCGAACTCCTGTCCTAACTCACTAGCCTTGACCCAGACTCGTTCCCCTACCTGGAATGTGGATTGTCTACGATGTTGATTCTCAGAAGCAATCATTGCTTGCTGAGCTTTCTTCATATGCTCGACAGCCTCTTGCAGCAACTTCTCATATTGCACACCACACTCTAGTGTGCCTGGAGTTGCAGCGGGTCGGTTTTCAGGTAGGAGGAAGTCTAGCGCTGATCTAGGCTTCCATCCCAAGTGCAGCTGATTCGGACTAACACCGGTACTGTTGTGGACAGCATTGTTATACAGGCTGGCGATGAGAGGCAACTGCTCATCCCAGTCATCCTGGCTGGGCTTGATGTAATGCCTCAGCAACTCTGTTCATTTGCTCAGCCTGTCTGTTTGCTTCGGGATGATTCCCTGAAGTCATTTGAAGTTGACTGCCCATCTGTTCTGCAGTTTTCTTCCACAACTCACTTGTAAATCGGACATCTCGGTCACTAACGATTGACTTTGGTAAACCAAAGTCACGCACCCAGTTGTCCTTGAACAACTTGATGACATAGTCATTTCTTGCGGTCTTTGGCATGGCCACTAGCCTAGCGTACTTGTTGAATCGATTGATTTTGACGAAAATGTGCCCCTTGCCGCTCTTACTAGTCACCAGGGTGTCCATGAAATCCATGGAGACACTCTGTCCTGGACCAGCAGGAATAGGCAACGACTTCAACAACCCAAGCGGTGCTTGACTTCGCGGCTTATCCCGTTGACAGACCTGACAGGTCTCTATGTACTTCTTTGCGTCATCAAACATACCAGGTCACCAAAATCGTTGTACTAAGTTAGCACTCTTCTTGTAGCCAAAGTGCCCAGTTGCGTCATGGCATTCGCCTAAAAATAAACTACGCAAAGGTTCACTAAATAGAACTACTAACCTTTTTATTCCTGCCTTATCAAGATAGAGTAACCCGTCCACCATCACAAACTCACTTTTCGTGGCCTTGTCTTTTGCCTGAAGCTTGCGAATGATGTCCATCGTGATAGGGTCTTCCTGATAGGCTCCCACCAATGATTGAGTTACTTCTTCAGATACGCCAAATTCAGAAACTAGCGCACCTAGGTAGTCTGCTCTACGGGATAGCGCGTCTGCAACCTTGTTGTACTCTCCCTTCAGTTACTCAAGCTTGAAGTCATATTGGTCTATGACCTCAATCCATCGCTTGAGGGCGTTAGAAAGAGTCGGTTGAGTCTTGATCCATTTCAGGGTCTGATGATCAGTCCTCAAGTAGAAGAACCTTCCTAATAGGAAGTGTCTCCAATGGACAAGTGCTTTATATAGAGCATAGAGTTCCCTTTCGTAGGTGGACTTTGCCAACTTCTTTGATGATATCTTCTTGCTCATATACTCAATCGGTCTCAACTTTTTCCCATCCTGTTGAGCCAGCACTGCGCCAATGCCGTATTAGCTTGCGTCAATGGTCACTATGAATGGCTTCTGAGGATCGGGAACCATGAGGACCTCATGATTCATGAGTGCATGCTTCAATCTTTTGAAAGCACCCTCGCA